CAAAAAGTACTTGTTATTCCTAATTTACAGATTAGGAGACTCAGGAAATTAACTTGCCCGGTGCCATAAGGTCAATACATGGCAGACTGAATCTGCATGCAGCCCTGTCTGACTTTTCATACTGTACTGAACTGCTTTTCCTGTCACAATCCAGAACAGGAACAGAGCCTCAGCAGACACAAGACTCACCACCGGCATAATGTGACATGTCAGAATTACGTGTTCCCATCATTTCTTTGTTACTCTGTTTACTTAAACTTTCAAGACATCAGGCTTAAGGAAGACCCTGCAGAAATGTCCAAATGACTCCAGCATAATAATTGTATGATATATTGCTATTATTTCCCTTGAGTCTGTATTTATGGGGAAACTGGATATAAGTGTGTCTTGCAGGCTGAATATTGTTCTCTTAGCCCAGTGATTAGAGAGAAACAGAGGGTGGAGAGATGGCAAGGGAGGGATAGACTGGCATTGGCAAATCCATGCAAAACTCACCCATTAAAGTGGTAGTCATAGCGATCTTTCCAACCATCTACTAGCCCTAATGGTACACAGTGGACAGGAGTCATTAGAAAGCCCACCAAAGCAAGGTCAGTGAGCCACAGGTCTCACCAGCAAAGCCTGAAGGCTGATTCAGAAGGCACATCTACAATAAAAGCACCACTACTACCACCAAGAAAATAGCCAGACATCCTACAAGGCGCTTGACATTTGTCATGTTTCATGCTCATAACAACTCTCTATGATAGGTAATAGCATTATCACCATTTTATAAATGAGAAAAATGAGGAACAGACATGCTCAGTCACTTGCCTAATGTCAAGCAGCTGTCAAGTAACCCCAAACTTCCATGCTGGGGAGTCACCCCAACTTTCCACGCTGCAACCTTCCAGGCACCCATGTGACTGGGAGAGGCCATGCCATCAGCAGGTCTGTTCCAAGTCCACAAATTTTCTCTCCCCTCTTCCAATTTCTGATGATTAAACTGATTTACTTTAAAGCTTGTACACTTCCTGCAGCTTAAACAGATGGGAATGGCATCTACTAGCATAACAAAATTGTCTGGTGATGAGGACCCAACTCTAGAAGTTAAGTAAGAGAGAAATGCCAAGCCCCTTACAGGCAGCCCGTGCTCAGTGATGTCTAGTGTCCTTCCTTCCTATAAACCCAGCTAATGCTATAGCCTCCTTCTTGGCTTACAGATCCACAACCCAGTGGCAAGGATGGCCACTGGCCTTTGTTTAGTCCAACAGGTCCCAAATATATTTAACCACGAAGGGTTGTATTGAGAAACACCCATTCCACATTCCAAACAAACTTGGTGAAATGCTCACCTGTCCTCCCAGCTTCCAGCACAAAAACAAGGGATTGCAGGAAGGAGGAGCCAGGAGGGGCTTCCCTGGGGTGAAGGCCCAAGAGCAGCACGACACTGGGTCACTCTTGGCTCCTTTTCCAAGGGGTCTGCTCTTGGCAGCATGCCCAAGTAGCCCCTGGCTTTGCACAGACCCTGGCCCCAATGGGCTGTCACATGAGAGGACATTTAGGAAGCAACATCCACTGCCCCTTGGGAATCCCCACTGGCTTTCCTCTCCAGAGATGTGGTGCCCAGCCCTTTCTGTTTATAATCTGAGAAACTATTAAAGAAAGGACAGGCATAACAAGGAGGCTGGGACACAGATAATCCAGAAGGCAAGAAATGGGGAGAAATCTCCCTAGGACCTGGAGTATGTCAGCCCATAAACTCCTGAAGGTTGGCGTCTTTGCAAACCCATCCCCAGCAGGTCTGGCCCATGGTGGGTGGTATCATGATGATGGGGAGGTGGCCGTCAGAGCCCTATGAAAGGATGACTCCACCTGGCCCTGGAAATGAGAAACACAGCCCCTTACGTGCCCGTGGAGTTTGCAGGTTTACAAAGTGCTCTCTTGTGCATTATATCATTGCATCCCCACTGAAAATTTGGTATTATTCTTCTTTCTTCCAGTATACCAAAGAGAAAATGGGATTGTGAAAAGACAAAGGTCCAAAATCACAACAGGGTATAAGTAGCGACCAGGTCCCTGGATTTAAAATGCCCCATTGGGAGCCTGCCTGTGCCCCACCCTGCTACCTGCCCTATCTGGGGTGTCAAGATCTGGCCAAAGGTTGGAAGAGGAAAAGATGAGAGGAGGCATAACTTGGCAGCCCTGGTGGTACAGAGTGGGGAAGATTTGAAACTGAAACAGCAAAAGGCAGTTTAAATAAGCAGAGTCTGCTGTGGTTTGAAGGTGTCCCCTCCAAAGTTCAGATGTTGCCAGTGTGACAGGATTAGGAGGTGGGACTTTTGAGAGGTGATCAGGCCATAAAGACTCCTCTCTTGTGAATGGGATTGAGGGCCTTATAAAAGAGGCTTCATACAGCATGCAGCTAGCTTGTCCTTCTGCCCTCTGCTATGTAAGAACACAGTGTTCTTCCCTTCCAGGGGATGCAGCCCTCATTAGGCAGCTGAACCTGCAGGCACCTTGATTTTGGACTTCCCAGCCTCCAGAACTGGGAGAAAATAAATCTCTGCTCTTTATAAATTATTCACTTTCAGACATTTTGTTATAGCAGCACAAACAGGCTCATCTGGAGTCTCAGACAGCAGCTGAGTTGGTTTTGAGAAATAGAAAGACTCAGATGGGAGAGAAAGGTGTCCCTCTCCAGTGCCAGCAAATCTGCCCATGAGAGCATTGTTACCCTGGGCTGCAGGGCAGCAGCCCTGGGATCTGAGGGCAGGTTGGATATGGAGGCCTCATCAGGGAACCAGGCACTGCCCTGCCAGTCAGCAGCTCATCCTGGCACCAGGAGCTGCTACCCAGGGTCAGCGCTCACTTCCACAGAGCTCCTTTATGGTTAGGTTTGTAGAGCAAGAATGCATGTTTCAAAGACATCCCTATGATGCTGGTCTTGCTCCAGAATCAGTCATCACATGAGTCTCTTGGTGCTGAGAACAAACGATGTTGTTCAAATTGCTGCATGTCCACATTCACACAATGGGTTTTCTCAGAGATCCTGTGAGGCAGGGACTCCCATGGCCGCAGCTGTGGGCAGCCAATCACACCAGTTCATTGCCAAGTATACAGCCTGGGTCCTCAGGCATCCTGAAGTTGGAGCATCAGCAAGGTTTCCCTGTGTTCCCAAGCTCTTCTCAGTGCCCAGGAGATAGTGTGTGTGCATGTGAGTGTGTCCAAGAAAGAAGGGAGGGACCGGATGAACGGTCAGCCCTGCCATCCTCCACGTGGCTTCCTGCTTAGCTTCTGCATGTCCCAGCTGGAGCTGGACATCGAGTTGGCTCCTTCCAGCTCTCCTGTCCAGGCCTCGGTTGCTGGTCCTGTAGGCACTGGCTGGGCTGTCACTCCAAGAAGCTGGAGTCCCTGGGCCACCGGAGGCCTCTTCCTGACAGTGAGGACTGCAGATGCCGAAGGGCAGATGTTGGCTGGTGTCACCCAACTGGCAGCACCTGCTGAAGATCCCCAAACTGCTCCTGCTTCTGTGGGTGCCCAGAAGACAGAGGCTGTGGCTGCCTGGAGCATGCAGCTCATGCTTCCTGAAGCCTTGTCAAAGGGCGGAACTGGGCCCTCAGCTCAGTGTGGGTTTCAGGCCTGGCTTCCCCTGTGTCCAGTCCAGGGGTCACATGGCCCCTTTTCCTTGCTTCTGTGATGGACCAGCAGGACTGCAGCCAGCACTTGGTGGGATGGACAGATACCCTGGGGCCCCTTTTTCCACCAGGCAACCTCCATTGAGGGCTGTTCTTGTTCAGTAGATGGGACATGAGGCTTCACCTGAGCTGAGTTCATACAGGACAGGCAAGTCTGTCAGCAGCACAGCTGGCTTCATAACCAGGTCCCCAGGCTTTGAATGCCACCAGCAAGCTACCAGCCTGAACAGCTCAGTCTTCCGCTGGCTTTTGAAGATTAAATCCCCTTTTTGCATAAGCACCTAAGGGGATTGGAGCCTACAGAGGGCCAGCTTGGAAAACGTAAGGAGGCACATCTGTTCAGAGAAAGGCCTGGGGCGGCGTGGCTGTTCTTGCCAGACCGTGTTGGTGAGGAGGTCCGCGTGGGTGTCCATGAAGGTGGTGACACAGAGGGCCTACTGGCTCTGGAGGTAAGAACCTAAGAGACCAGGAGGTCCTGCTGGCCAGGGAGAGCTGGGGTACGGACAGCAGACCCCTCCCCACAGCTGCCTGGCTACCCAGATTGCACATGCTCACTGAGCGCTCTGCTGTCAGGAACCTCTGGGCTGAGTCTCTTCAGCAACTTCTTGCCTTGATAAACTCAGTACCTCCCAGGACAGTTCATGCATGGCTCCATGGACTGTCTCTCACCCGCTGAATGGATAACCGTCTCCCTGCAACTTCTACCCTTTGGGATGATCCTTCTTGCCCATGACATCCCTTCAAATGTCACCCCATGTGTTGCCGCTTCCAGCACCCTCCTCCTCCTGGGCCCTCTCCGCTGCTGGAACTTCAGCAGAGTTACTTAAGCTGCTTTACAAATGGGGCTTACACATGAGCTTGGTTCGAAGCAAGAGCACCACAGTTTAAGGGTCTGAAATCGTTAGTGCTGCCCAACATGACGGCCCCTTGTGGTCCCGCGCTATCTCTGGCCTGCGGCTCCCCGTCCCATAGACGTGCAAATGCCTGGCTTGGGTCAGCACCCAAGAACAGGGGCCACTGCCCCTGATGGGGAAACCCAGAGCCCTCTACCCTGCTGCGTCCTGGCTGGCTCTGCTCTGCTCACATTAACGAAGTGGCCTGGAGGTGCCAAGCCAGCCCACATACATTCAGGACATGCCTGTGCCGCTCTTGAGTGTGGTGTGGGGCCCATCAGCACTGCACTGGGGGCCGGGCATCCTGGGAACTCAGGGCAGGATGGGCAATGCCCACAGAGCGTGCCAGGCACACAGTGTGTGGGGGGCGCCCGTGGTCCCCAGGTGGAGGGCATGCCGGGGTGGCAGGGCGCGGCCGGCGGGCACTCACAGGGCAGGGTCTCGGCGCTGTTCTTCTGGATCATGATGCAGAGCTGTAGCACCAGTTGGGGCGCGCTCTCCAGGAAGGTCTCCAGGAGGCGCAGCATGTTGACGTCTGCATATTCATACATCATAGCCCAGTAGAAGCGTCGCTGGTGTTCCTTCCGCCGCTGGCTCTGAATCCCCAGGTACATGGTGCGGATATACCTGCTCAGAGAGATGGGGAGAACACAGAGAGCATGGGTGGGTGCGGGGACTCCAGAGGACCCTTGCCATCCCCCTAAAACCAACAGACCCAGAATTCCCCGCTCCTGCCCCAACCCTGTGCTCTGAAGTTCCCAGAGGCTTGGACGGGGCTCTGGGGGTCTCCCAGCAAAAGGACATGATGCTGAGGCATGGGGGAGGGGAAGGGCAGGTCAGGAAAGGATTTGACCCCTCATGGGCTCCTAAGCAAGTCCTCCTCCGCCTGGTCTCCATTTGCTCATCCGGAAGATGAGACTGTGGGGCACGATGCCCTCCAAGGGCCTGCAGGTACGCATCTCAGCTGAGCCCCAGGACAGGGGTGGGCTTTCTCAGGTTCAGGACCCGGGGGGGAAACAGTCCAGCAGGGTCGTCACCTCTGTTGTTCTGGAGCAGGAAAGGCAGGGAAGGGGGTGAACGTCTATGAAGCTCCTACTATGTGCCATTCGCTGGCTGGCCATGCCCAGGTGGTAAGTAGGAGGGTATAGTTCTCACATGTGACAGACAGGAAATAGTGCGGGCTCAGAAAGGTCACCCCCACCGTGTTGCTGGATAGTGGAACAAGTAGGAATCACACCCAGGCCACTGGACACCCTCTCTGGACATCAGGAGGACCCAGGGCCTGCCATGGAGTCTCCGTCTCAGAAGGGCCCAGGACACAGGTGCAGATCCACGGCCCGCCCTCTTGGGACCACGCCCAGGCTCTGTGTGGGAGGGCCGAGGGGCCAAGGAAGCAGGTAGGGGGAAGAGCAAGGCTCACAGGTCAAGCAGGCCTGGACTCATCACTTGCTAAGTTGGGGACCTTGAACTAGTTACTCCAGCTCTGTGTCCTTGTCGCTGATATTTCATATGGGGACAGAATGAGAGCATCACAGGGTGCATGGGAAGATTAGTGAGATGATATGCACAGTGGGCATTCCCCCAGGTCGTATGATAACCCCAGCCTCATTTTCACCAGAACTCTCTGGAACTGTGTCTCCAAGGCAAGAGAAGGACTTAAGGCACCATCCAAACTCGGCCAACAAGCTCCAAGTGTGGTCCAGGGGTGAGGGTATGGACAGGGCTCACCCAGAAGCAAGGGCCAGAGTGCATAGCTCTGTAGGCCCAGTCAGGATCAAAAACAGGAACCATAAACTGGGTGCCACCAGCAGTGGGAGAGAACCACACGCCTGTCCTTGACCGTCCTGTGGGATGGACGTTCTAGGACCCGCTACTGTGCCCTCTGAAATGCCGAGCCTGACTTGTAAAGATTCAGTGCATGGCTGATGCCCTATCCAGGCCCAGCTGGCCTTGGGTATTACCAAGAACCCACTCAGGACTGCTGGATGGTCCGTTTTGTCGCTGCCACACCGCCAGCCAGCTCCCAGCCACTGCCCCTCTTGCCTGGAGGGATGCAGGAGTCTCCTCACTGGTTCTCCACTGTCTACTCTTACCCCTGAACAACTGATTCTTCAAGCCGCTACTAAGCCACAAGGGTGACCTCAAACACACATGCCAGATGCAGTAAGCCCTGCTCGCCATCCGATGAGGGGTGCCTGGCTTCTCTCTAGATTCCTAAGGGCCTTTGGGGGCCTGGATCCTGAAGGGACCCAGCCAGGGAAGCTGCAATGGACACCTCATTTCTCTCCAGACCCACCCCCTGAGGTGAGCAGAGACACACCCTTACTGAGAACTAGAGGCTGGCATTGCAGTGATGGCCCCATCAGGGAGGGACATGGGAGGAAGGTCAGGGCACCAGAACCCCCGGGCCAGGTCCTTCCAGGTATACAGTCTCTTGGGGTCCCTGGCCCACCTTGCGGGTCGGGTCTGGTTATCACCATTCAACACATGGGGAAACTGAGGCTCTTGCATGAAATAAAGCACCAAATTCTGGTTCTGTTCCAGGTTCTTCCACCTGCTGACTGTAGCATTTCCACAGGGCGTTGCCTTGCTCTGGGCCCCTGCCTGTGAGTTCACAAAATCAGGAAACCAGGGAAGAGGCTCAGGAAGAGGAATGGGGAGGTTGCACCTGGTCTCAGAGCTCACAGTCACTAAGAGAGGGGAAAGGAGAGACCCAGAGAGATAGAGGCAGAGACACAGAGATAGACAGTGAGACAGACACAGAGAGACAGAGAGAGAAGTAGGAGGCAGCTGAAGGAGAAAGCAAAGGTAAGGGGAGCAGTGTCAAATTTGGGGACCTGAAGGAGAAGACTGCCTGGAGGAGGTGATGGCAGAAAGAAATGTGTGCAGGGAGGTTACTGGAAGCAGATGTCACCATCGGTATTTTGGGAGGGGCTGAGGGTGAGCCCCTGATGGAGGGTGATAGAAGGGTCAGGCTGATCAACCATGATGGCAGTGCAGGGAGGCAGGGCATCAGGGGACACGGATGCTCCAGCTGAGGCACTGAGGCAGGGCTGCGCGCCCAGAGCTTTGGCACACCCGTGTCCAGGAGACCCGTGTGCCGAGTGGAGCCTCAGTGCGGTGGGTCTCCCAGATCAGAGCTGCTCCCTGTGACTCAAACCCGGCTCTCTCAACAGGTGGCACCTGCAGCACACAAGCCATGAGCCATAGATCACTCCAGGCCCCAGACCACAAACCTAATGGTCTCAGGGGTACACTCAGACTACAGACTCTGCTTCTTCTAGCCTCACAGGTGGTCCAGCGGCTGCAGGAATGGTTATACGGCAGCACTAACCCTATCCATCTGGGTCCCAAGTCAGTAATGCCAGTGCTCAGGTTCACCCAGGCAAAGAGAGCACCGGTTCTACCCCTCGACCCCACGTTCTCCCCAAGCCACAGGCCCCTCTGCCCACCAAGGCCGGGGAAAAGGAAAACAATGAGCCCAGAATATGCCAATTCAACTGGAATGCCTGCCGGGGGAGCCAATCTTGACGCTGTCCTGGGTGTGAGCACCCCAGGGTGTGGGAAGAGACAGGGTGGATGGAGGCAAAGCGGGTGCCACTCCTCCCTGAGCCAATTGTCAAGCAGACGCTGGGGCCTAGAGGGCACCACGGTCCAGGCAAAACCGAGTTTGGACAGCATGGTGCCTCCTGGGTCACCCACACAGGCACCGCAGGGACTGTAGTAGGGACTGATCACAGCCCCGCCCAGGAGTTCCTGACAGCCAGGCCTCAACGCAAATGCTCATCCTTTCCAACTGCTCCTGACGCGGCCCCTCCTCTGCTCCTCTTAAGTCCTTGGGTCCCCAGTAGACAACCGAGGGGTACTGGTTTGCAATATAATCGGATCTGGACACTGGTCTAGTCCAACCCCTACTTTATAGGGGAGGGCCCCAGTGCCAGAACGCAAGCCACCAGGGCCTCAGTCACTCAGTGCTGTGGGGCCCAGAGGAGACCAGAACCCAGGCCTGACCCCATGACCTTGCTTGTCCCCCACAACACGTGCAAAGCCCCTGCCTCTCATGCAGGAGGATCCTGGCAGCTCCTGCAATCACGTGGCCGCTGCTGTCCTGGAGGCTCTAGGATTCTTCCTCCTTCTCCTAGCTTTCCCTGGTGTCTGTCTCCCTCAAGATCTAAGGAGCTGCCAAGAAACAACCAGGCAGATGGGTGGGGTGGGAGGAAGGCATAAGGCATGCCCCGCCCCCCAAAACCCCTGGGCCAGCGCTGCTCTCCCTCGGTATCTCAGTTTCCTGGGTGACCTCTGAGGTTGCCTTGAGGTTGCGCTGTCAGCCGCCTCCTGCAGGGCCTCCCACATCCCCTCTGCAGAAGCGGCCTCGGCGCGCGGCCACACGGTGGCGCCAGACCCTAAGCGTCGCGGAAAGACGACTCCAGGCGGGTGATCTCATCCTACAGGCCCGCGCCCTCTGCTGCCAGGGCGCGGGGTGCAAGCCCATAGGTGCGCTCCGAGGTGGGAGGCAAGGCGTCTGCAGGACACTCAGGATTGGCTGCCATTCCTCCAAGCCCCCTCTTTCTCCACCTTCCTGGAAGGTTCCAGAAAGCTTACCGCACCCTTCTCCAGGAAGGTAGCTTGGGAGTGAAGACACCAACTCTCCTCCCCGGTTTGCTCCCAAAGTCGGTGTCACCTCCTGTCACGCCATATCTCCCCTAGGAGACTCGGATCATGAAATGCACGGGGGTGAAGGCAGCAACGCCACGTGTCCTCAGGAGCACGGGCTCAAGAAAGCTGGGCCTGGTCTATGGTCTGCAGGACTGGGCGACCTTGAGCAAGTCACCTCCCATGGCTGGGCCCCGCTATTCCTATCACAGGAGGGGCAGGCAGGAGGGATCTCCAAGCCTCTGCCAACATCTTATAACTTTGTCTTTCTTCAAGTCAGTGACCTCACAGAGCACAAAGGATGGCCTAGCATCTTTACAAACAATAATGTCTCATGTTTGTGTGACATTCACTTGTGCCAGGCTCTATTATGGGCATTTGGTACCTATTACCTCATTTAATCCTCACAACACCCCTATGAGGTAGCTGCAATATTACCTACCAATTATTCATTTTACAGGTGCAATATTATGGGTGCAATATTACCTATCAATATTTATTTTACAGACAGCAAACTGAAGCACTGAGGTTAAAACATTCGCCTTGCTCTTCCCAGCTAAGTAAGTAGCTGAGCAGGGCTTCAAGCCCAGGCAGTCTGGCTTCGGGGCCAGTGCTGTTGACAGCTCCTGCCCACGCACCTCCCAGAGGTAGACCATGTGTCTCCTTACTTCTGAACTCAGTCCAACTTGCCTGACAGTGGGGAAGAACGGAGTTTGCCCAAAACACCTGGGCTCCCGTCCAGTTCTGCCACCTGGCTGTGTTACCTTGAGGGACATCTCCTAACTTCTCTGAGTCTTAGTTTTCGCATGTATAAAACGCCTAGTCCAGAGTAGAACCCCAGAACATGTTGGACGAATCAGTGCATACCATAGTGCCCCCTCAGAGGGTCACAGGAGCCTTAAATAAGACCATGCCTGCGAGCACAGACAGGAGTTTAGAAGTCGCCATGCAGATGGCAGCCATTAATGCTCCCT